TTTTTTTTTTTTTTTTGGATTTGATACCAAAGCAAAGACAACAAAAGCAAAAATAAACAAGTGGGTCTACATCAAACTGGCAAGCTTCTGCACAGCAAAGGAAACCATCAACAAAATGAAAAGGCAACCTACCGACTGGAAGAAAATATTTGCAAATCATATATCTGATCAGAGGTTAATACCTAAAATATATTTTAAAAGTCCTACAACTCAATAGCAAACAAAAAACAAACAAACAAAAAAAAATCTGATTAAAAAATGGGCAGAGGATCTGGGTAAACATTTTTCCAAAGAAGACATACAGATGGCCAACAGGTACATAAGAAGGTACTTAACATCACTAATTATCAAGGAAATGCAAATCAAAACCACAATGAGATATCACCTCACACCAGGTAGAACTGCTATTATCAAAAAGACAAGAAACAAATGCTGGGAAGAATGTAGAGAAAACTGAACCCTTGTACACTGTTGGTGGGGTATGTAAACCAGTACAGCCACAAAGAAAAACACAGTACAGCCTTATGGTGGCTGCTCAAGAAATTAAAATTAGAGGGGCACGTGGGTGGGTCAGTAGGTTAAGCATCCAACTTCGGCTCAGGTCATGATCTCACAGTTTGTGAGTTTGAGCACCACAGGGGCTCTGGGCTGACTGACAGCTCAGAGCCTGGAGCCTGCTTCGAATTCTGTCTCGGTCTCCTTCTCTTTCTGCCTCAACCCTACTCACACTCTGTCTCTCTCTCTTAAAAATAAATAAACATTAAAAAAATTTTTTTAAAAGGGGCACCTGGGTGGCTCAATCAGTTAAGTATCCAACTTTGGCTCAGGTCATGATCTCAACAGTTTGTGAGTTCCAGCCCCACATTGGGCTCTGTGCTGACAGCTCGGAGCCTGGAGCCTGCTTCAGATTCTATGTCTCCCTCTCTCTCTGTCCCTGCCCTGATCATGCTCTGTCTCTGTCTCAAAAATAAATAAAAACATTAATTTTTTTTAATTTTTAAAGAAATTAAAATTAGAACTGCCATATGATCATGTAGTGATTGCTTAAGTAAACTTAAAAAAAAAAAAAAAAGACCTGAAAGTCAAAATTACTCCTTAATCCACAAGCTGAAGAATGGATGTAGTTGTGAGCAGGTATGAAAACATTAATTTCACAGTACATCTCCATTGAAGCTTTTGGATGACCAGGTGCATTTTCAGTGAGCAGTAATCTTTTGAAAGAAATCTTTTTTTGTAAGAGGTCTCAACAGTAGGCTTAAAATATTCAGTAAACCATGTTTATAAACAGATGTGCTGTCATCCAGACTTTGTTACTCCATTTATGGAGCATATGCAGAGTAGACTGAGCATAATTCTTAAGGGCCTTAGGACTTTCAGAATGGTAAATTAGCACTGGCTTCAACTTAAAGACACTGGCTACATTAGCTCCTAATAAAAGAGTCAGCCTATCCTTTGAATCTAGGCACTGAGTTCTCTTCTTTAACTATTAAAATCCTAGATGGCATCTTCTTCCAGTATGAGGCCATTTTGTCTACACTGAAAATTGACTACACTGTTGTCTAGTGTAACCACCTTCATTATTTTAGCTAGATCTTCCAGATAACTTGCTAGAGCTTCCACATCAGCACTTGCTACTTCACCTTGCACTTCTATGTTCTGAAGATGGCTTCTTTCCCTAAACCTCATGAACCAACCTCTGCTTAGCTTCAAATTTTTCTTCTGCAGCTTCCTTACCTCCCTCAGGCTTCATAGAATTGAAGAGAGTCAGGGCCTTGCTCTGGACTAGGCTTTGGCTTAAGGGAATGTTATGGCTGCTCTGATCTTCCATCCAGACTACTAAAACTTTCTCTGCATCAGCAATAAGGTTGTTTCGTGTTCTTATCATTCATGTGTTCACTGGACTAGCACTTTTAGTTTCCTCTGGGAACTTTTCCTTTGGAAAAGCTGGATTTGGCTACCTTGCTCAAGAAGTCTAGCTTTTGGCCTATCTCAGCTTTCAACATGCCTTCCTCACTAAGCTTAATCATTTGTAGCTTTTTTTTTTAAAGTTTATTTATTTTAACAGAGAGAAAGAGTGTGCATGCAAGTGGGGGAGGGGCAGAGACAGGGGGAGACAGAGAATCCCAAGCAAACTCCACGCTGTTAGCGCAGAGCTTGATGTAAGGCTTGATCTCACAAACTGTGAGATTGTGACCTGAGCTGCAATAAAAAATCGGACCCTTAACCAATTGAGTCACTCACGCGCCCCAATCATTTCTAGCTTTTGACTCAAAGTGAGAGTCATGTGATTCTTCCTTTCATTTGAACAGTTAGAGGCCATTGAAGGGTTACTCACTGACCTAATTTCAACCCTGTTGTGTCTCACTTGGAGATCCCAGGAGAGAGAGAGAGAGATGGGGAAACAGCCAGTTGGTGGTAGAGTCAAATCACACATTTATTGATAAAGTTCACCATCTAAAATGGGCATGGTTTGTGGTACTCCAAAGCAATTACCATAGTAACATCAAAGATCACTGGTCAGGGGCGCCTGGGTGACTCAGTCAGTTAAGTGTCTGACTGCGGCTCAGGTCATGATCTCGCGGTCCATGAGCTCGAGCCCCATGTGGGGCTCTGTGCTGACAGCTCAGAGCCTGGAGCCTGTTTCAGATTCTGTGTCTCTCTCTCTCTGACCCTCCCCTGTTCATGCTCTGTCTCTGTCTCAAAAATAAATAAACGTTAAAAAAAAATTTTTTTAAAGATCATTGGTCATAAATCACCATAACAAATATGAGGACAATGAAAGAGTTTAAAATATTGCAAGAATTAGCAAAATGTGACACAGAGACATGAAGTGAGCAAATGCTGTTAGAAAATGATGCAGACAGATTTGCTCAATGCTCAATGCCACAAATCTTCAATTTGTAAAAAACATGGTATCTGCAAAGTGCAATAAAGCAAAGTGCAATAAAACTAAGTATGCCTATACAAACTTTCAGTTGTAAGGTAAATAAGGTCTGGGGAGCTAATGCAGTATCATAGTAACTATAGTTCACAACACCACATTATAGAATTTTGCTAAGAGAGTAGAACTTATATGTCAAATTTGCTAAGACAGTAGAACTTATATGCCACACACACACACACACACACACACACACACACACAAAGTATGTGAGGCGTTGAATGTGTTAACCAGATGAGGGGAATCCTTTTACTATGTATATGCATATTAAATCATCACAATACATACTTTAAATATCTTACAATTTTGTCAATTATACCTCAATAAAACTGAGGGGAACAAAACAGGAAAAATTAGAAACTATGGAATCTTCCAAATATTAAAAAAGTCCATTTCCCAACTATAACAACTATAACAAACATAAATTTGTCTTCCAAAAAATTCACCTCTGTAGTTTTTTTCCAGTGCAATAACAATCACTCAATCATATTTACATAAAAATATTTGTCTTCACAAACAGGTTAAAACAGCAGCCTTCCAGTTACCATTGAGTAGAGAAAAGAAAAAATAACTAATAAGCACTAACTTCTCTACTGAAACCTATCTGCCTTCCCCGGTTTGGTTCTCCAACTTCTGGCCAAGACTATAAGAAAAATGATCCCTTAATGTATATGATGAGACTACAGTAATAAAAACTGTGTAGCTGCCTACCCCTTCTTCATCTGAACCAAACCTGAAACTTTAAAGAGAAAGAATATAAATGTTATACCACCTGTAGTATCACTTAAAATTATCTCCTTTTTCCTCCTTTTTTTTATAAACACACATAAAACCTCAAAACCTCAAAGCCTCTTTGAAAACACATTTACCCTAATTATTTTTAAGAATTAAAAGAATCACTTGAAGAAAAAAAATCTGATGATGCAGATTATATAATTAACATTGTCATTAACTTGTTGCTTGGTGATTCTTTAATAGATGGAGAAATATAAAAATAGTTTCAATCTACAATGAGAATTCTCATTTGTATGCAATAAAGAATTCAAGGACTTACCTTAAAAATGGCATTTTTTGCCTTATATGTAGCAAAATAGGGTTGTTCCAAAAGCCACAATGATGTAAGAATGGCAGCTGTAGAGGTCTTTACACGAATGATGGGACTATACTCACAGGATAACTCAGTGAGACTAGGATCACAGAGCAGTCTTCTGTCAGACCACCTTATCATCCATTCCAGCAGCCTTCTTATACTGCCAAATGTGTTATTTAGTACTAAAGGAAGATCTTCTTGAGGGTTAATATCACTGCATTGAACTGCTTTGAAAATACATCTTCTAGTTTTGTCGGTCTTGGGAGTCCAAAACACATGGTTCGACAATCTCTGGACTAAAGGTTTCCCTGAACTGTCATCTTGTGTTCTGTAAACTGACTTTTGTTTTAAACCGAACAATCCACTTGTCACTTCAATTTTATTGACTTCATTCAAAGGGTTCTCTAAAAATGACCTGATTCCTTGATCCAGTACTGAAGCTGAAAGTGCTTGGTTTTCTGGCTTTTCAGACTCATATAACTCAGGAGCAACAACAAAACAAGAGCCAGCTCTAAACACATTTTGGCTTTTGGTTTTGCTTCGACGTCGTTTTAATGTTGTATGTACATCAAAAAGTAAAGAATTAAGTTCATATTCTCTAAGATGTCCAGAAAAACTGGTTAGAAATGGAATGCCAGGATCCTTAGAATCAAGTAGGTCTCTTTCAAGAACATAACTCAAGAAGAGATCAAGGAATTTAATATATTCATCATCATCACGTTCAAATTCCCAAACACCTATTACAGGCAGTGCATTTTGTAATAGCTTTTCATGATCTTTTCTTTCAAGATTTTCTTTCTGATTACATATCTTCTTTTTTTCCTTGGGCTTACCAATCAATTTTAATTCCATGTGATTTGGGGCATTTCTACAGCAAAACAAAATTGAAAAAGACAAAATTAAAGATTATTTAATAGCAAAAACGGATGTTAGAATTGACAATGAAAATTCTCTCCGTGACTGAATTATATATATATACACTTTTAATGCCTCAATTACGTATCTTTCAAATGAGGGGTTAGATTAAATGATCTCTAAGTGTTGACTAGAGCTGAACATTCTTAGTGAAAAAATAAAACAAAATATCAAAAGGGGAAATTTGAGTTAAAAAAGACTGAAATGTGTTCACAGAAATTTCACTTTTAAAAACATGAATTTTTGAAAAAAACTAAAAGGTCCTCTAACAAGTGAGAATTTAGGAATCCAAAGTCAACAGAAATCACAAGCCACCAACATACATCCTAATTTATGGTTTCTTGTTTTTTGCATCTGCACCTTTCAGCTCCCCCTGTACAAGGTACAACAAGCAGGAATGCCTTCAAGACTCTTTACTACACAAGAGTGGGGCATTTTTTCTAAACTTTCTACTGCTATTAAACCTGCTAGGCGAACATTTTAACTGCCAATCATAATTACTTTTATTTTTTTAATTTTATTTTTAATTTTTTAAAATTTACATCCAAATTAGTTGGCATATAGTGAAATAATGATTTCAGGAGTATATTCCTTAATGCCCCTTACCCATTTAGCCCATCCCCTCTCCCACAACCCCTCCAGCAACCCTCAGTTTGTTCCCCATACTGATGAATCTCTTCTGTTTTGTCCCTCTCCGTTTTTATAATATTTT